GGTAATTATCGGTTATTCTATCAGCTGAAAAATTATCTCAATCATGCATTGACTAATTTTAATGTGGGGACTGGAAGATCCTCAGAATTACGTACGACTTGCTGGACTTGCAGGACTGCAGTGACTCAACTTGACTTCCTCCCAACTCTTGTGCTACAGTACAACTGCAGGAACCTTCTAATTGTGTTTAAACTTAGTTAAAAATCAAACTCACCTGTCTGTAGGATGAACAGATTTTTTTGGATGAGGTGCACACAGGTGTTGTTGGTGGGCGAAGTTTCATCGTGTGTGTGTGTGTGTGTGTGTGTGTGTATGTGTGTGTGATGCAGGAGAGGTTTCAGGTGAAGAACCCTCCACACACCTACATCCAGAAACTGAGAGGCTTTCTCGACCCCGCCGTAACGCGCAAGGTCAGTTTGTTTACAACGGCATGATGTCACACTTTAATAATGACATCAGAGGGGGGTCAGTCTCAGCTATGATGTCACACTTTAATGGATTGTCACAGTATTTTTGTATTTGAACAGTTGTTTTTAAAAAAACGTGTCTGTCTGTCTGCAGAAGTTCAGAAGAAGAGTTCAGGAGTCAACTCAGATGCTCAGAGAGCTCGAGATTTCACTTCGCACAAACCACATCGGGTCTGTCTAACCACCTGTCTATCTGACCGCCGTCTGTCTGACCACCTGTTTTTGTTATTATTAATAAATGATTATAAATTGGACCTCTGATGTCCTTTATTCACATGAAGAAATCTTGTTTGTGATGACATAAAGATTAATTAACATTCCTACATGTCTGTCTATCTGACCTGTCTGTCTCTCTATAGGTGGGTCAGAGAATTTCTGAATGAGGAGAATCGAGGTCTGGATGTTCTGGTCGAGTATTTGTCCTTCGCTCAGTACGCCGTCACGTAAGTCTCACTGTGTACAGTATATACATATATATGTATGTATAACAGTATATTATCTTTCATTATATTCTCTATAAATCATTATATATGTTATGAACCCTTTAAGCTGTTGTTTGTGTGTTCAGATTTGATGGCGAGCAGTCAGAGACCGGAGGCGAGGTCTCGTCCATAGACTCTCCGTGGAGTCGGTCCATAGAGGATCTCCATGGCGACTGTAGCCTCCCGTCCCCATCGTCCTCCGTACCCCGCGCAGCACGCCATTCCATCAGGTAACAAATGTAAAAATAAAAGGATCCACTCATCAGATAAAGTCCACTCTGACCCTCTGAGGACGTCTCTCTGTGTCCGTAGTTCCACTCTGGTGACTCGATCCAACACTCTGCCGAGTCGTCGAACTCTGAAGAACTCGCGGCTTGTCTGTAAGAAAGACGACGTTCACGTTTGTGTCATGTGTCTGAGAGCCATCATGAACTACCAGGTAATGTTTCATTATTTAAATGTATTCAAATGCAGAAACAACCGTCATACTAACAGTTCATATATTATTGTACAATTAATCTATTAATTATCAAAGATTCCATCAGTCAGACTGTGAATCATCTTATTTCTGTATAATCAGTTGGAGTGAGTCAGTGTGAATGACTCAGTATGTGTGAGTGAGTCTGTGATTCAGTGTGAGTGACTCTGTGTGTGAGTCTGAGTCAGTGAGTCAGTGTGTGTGAGTCAGTGAATCAGTTTGTGTGAGTAAGTCAGTGTGTGTGAGTGAGTGAGTCAGTGTGTGTGAGTCAGTGTGTGTGAGTCAGTGAGTCAGTGTGTGTGAGTGAGTCAGTGTGAGTCAGTGTGTGTGAGTCAATGAGTCAGTGTGTGTGAGTCAGTGAGTCAGTTTGTGTGTGTGAGTCAGTGTGCAACACTAGCTAACGTTAGCATATAAATGGAGGCTTCCCCAGCTAACGTGATCCATGATACTAACATATGTATTCTAACAAACAGTGACGTTAGCCAACAATAAATAATGTAGCGGTACAAAAGCTAACATTAGCTTTCTACTAGCCAAGAGCAATGCGAGGCAGGTGCATCCAGCAAGCTAACTGTAGCTGCTCACTCGCGCTTACGGACAGTGTATGGAGCGTGAGCAACAGGACGCTGACTACAGTTCACTGAACGACCACTGGTGGCGCTGTTAACTACAGTTTAATGAATATTGCATATAGACACTTTAAGTTTTGCTACCAACTGTTTAGGTTCTCATGTTAGAGATTAAGGAACCCACTGATAAAATTATAAACGTGGTTCTTAAGTGTGAGCCTGAACATTTGTGACTGATCTTCATCTGTCCACCTCTTCCTCAGTATGGCTTCAACATGGTGATGTCTCACCCTCATGCTGTCAATGAAATTGCCCTCAGCCTCAACAACAGGAACCCCAGGTACTACTGTCTGTCTGTCCAACTGTCTGTCTGTCTGTTTCTACTGACTACATAAAGCTTACTGTCTCTGACTATCTGTCTGACTGTCTTCTGCTTACTGTCTGTCTGTCTGTCTGTCTCACTGACTGTCTGTGTCTGTGTCTCTCTGACTGTCTGACTGTCTTTCTCTCTGACTGTCTGTCTGTCTCTGACTGTCTCTCTGACTGTCTGTGTTTCAGGACGAAGGCTCTGGTGTTGGAGTTGTTGGCGGCAGTCTGTTTGGTCAGAGGAGGACATGAGATCATCCTGTCAGCCTTCGACAACTTCAAAACTGTAAACAACAACAACATACATACATTTACAATTATGTGTTGATTGATGTATTGATTGATGTATTGATTGATGTATTGATTGATGTATTGATTGATGTATTGATTGATGTATTGATTGATGTGTTGCAGGTGTGTTCAGAGTCGATGCGTTTCGAGAAGTTGATGGAACATTTTAAGAACGAAGACGACAACATCGACTTTCTGGTACTCTGAACTTCATCAGCACTTTCTTTACGTTATTTTTCCGCAATTTTTCCGTTATTTTTCCGTTATTTACAATGTTTATTTGGACTGACTCAGTAGTTTTTTTACCCAACTTCCTGTTTTATCTGAATTCAACATATTGACGATCATTTCATGTTGATCAAAACTGAATTATGGGACATCTTCAGCAGTTTAATACGTGGTCATTAACTGAGCGTGTGTCTGTTGTCACCACGGTTACGGTTGTCAGGTGGCCTGTATGCAGTTCATTAACATCGTGGTTCATTCGGTGGAGGACATGAACTTCAGAGTCCACCTGCAGTACGACTTCACCAAACTGAACCTTGATGAACACCTGGAGGTAACATCTGACCACTCTCAAATCACAGGAGAGCAAACACCTGTGCCTGTCTCAATGTCAACCTATCTCTCTACCTGTCTCACCACAGAGGCTGAAGCACACAGAGAGCGACAGGCTGCAGGTGCAGATTCAGGCGTACCTGGACAACGTGTTTGATGTTGGGACGCTGCTGGAGGACGCAGAGACCAAAACTGCCGCTCTGGAACGAGTCGAAGAGCTGGAGGAGAGCCTGGGCACGGTGAGACAGAGAGTTACACAGATAGAGATAGACCGGTAGAACAACACAGACAGACAGACAGCTGTCGTACTGACCTGTCTCTCTGTGTACAGATGTCGGAGCGTCTGCTGGACGTGGAGAACGAAGCGATGTTGAAGATCGTCGAACTGGAGAAACAACTGATGCAAACAAACAAGGATCTGGACCATGTCCGGGTCAGTGCTGTTACTATAGCAACCATGCAAACAACACAACATGTTCTGTCTCCATGGAGACAGAACATGTTGTGTATGATAATGAAAGAGATGTTTAACGGAACAACTGTCTCTTTAACACCTGTTACCTGTGCAGGAGGTGTATGCGAGTGCTAACTCTCAGGTGCACACCTTGCGGCGGATGGTTCGGGAGAAGGACCAGACAATCCGGCGTCAGAGTCGTCTGGAGCGTCAGGCTCAGGAGGCCCAGCAGGCCGGAGGACCTGGAGCACCACAACCACAGAGAGGAGAGGGGGATGGGGGGGTGGCTGACTCTGCCTCCCCCTCACCTCCCCCCTGTCCTAACTTGTCCCCCAGGTGAGAGACACCAGTGTAGACTACCTGCTGACAGCAGTCACAGTTACTAGCTGGAGAACACAATGGAGCAGATATTTTTATTGCACTGCTTCCCCCAAGTGGCCAAAAAAAAAAAAAAAACTTTTACTAAAACATAACGAACCTTTAAGATGTCACATCTGAAACGTGTGAATAATTTTTGTTTGGGGTTTTTCAGGTGAACTACCTACAGATGAATTTATAAATGAAAACTATAATGGAGCCCTGAGGTTCACCAGCAGTAATTATTAACACAACGTGGTGTTAGTCTGTGTCTGTCTGCTGAACACTGTTAATATTAATATATGGTTAATATTATCAACAATATGTCAGGAGTTAGCTTGGAGGAGAACAGAAACCATTAAGTGATGGCTCACCTGATTGATTCCCTCAGTCCTGAGACCGTAGCCTACCACAGCATGGGACCAGGGATGGGCGGAGCTCCAGGAATGCCAGCCCCGCCACCTCCCCCGCCCCCACCACCAATGCCAGGCACAGGTGAGTTTCAGCTCCACCAATCAGCAGGCTGCTTTAGATACTGAATGATACAGTGCATACTGCAGTAGTAGAAATACTCCAAAAAATATCAGTGAACTTCTTCAACTAAACAGTTCTTTCTTCTTCTCTTTGTCTTTAAAGTGTCTAATGGGTCGTACCCTGTACCTCCTCCCCCTGCTCCTCCTCCTCCTCCCCCCTGTCGGACCAGTGAGCTGTCCTCCTCTGTACCCATGCCTCCCCCTCCTCCACCAGTGGCCCCCCCTCTCCCGGGCTCGGGGGGGTCGCCTACGGTCATCTTTAACTCGGGACTTGCAGGTGAGACTGAACAAGAGGGTTCAAATGATGCAGCACGTGATGCCTCTAAATACTACATACATAAACTGTTTTTCTATCAAGATCACTAATATCTGAAAAACTCTCCATGTTGATGTGTTCAAGGAAGCTCCGACGTTTGATATCTGAGTCCAAGCAGCAATATTGTTGCAGTAATTTAGAACAAATGTGTGGATATACAGTCTGGTTACTAAAAGTTCATCTACACCTTTCAGCCAATCAGAAGCCAGAATTCTCAGTTCTTATGGTAAATGTGAACAATGTTTTGAGTGTATGATACTAACATGTTGGTTTTTTCTCTCTTGTTTTGCTGACAGAGGGTCCTCTCAAGTTATTTTGTACGTTTCCTTATGATCTTCAACATCCATCACACATCTTCCTGCTTCCTCCATCTTTATTTCATCCCCCATCTTTATTTCAACCTCCATCTTCAATATTCCATCCTCCATCATCTTAAATGGCTACATTGATATTTCATCCAAGGCTTTTTTACGAAGTCTTTGCTGCTCATTCACTGACACGTTGATGGCAGCAAGCTACTGATCTGACCATCAGAAGCAGTTTAAGGTTCACTGTTTTGCCCAAGAAGAACCGCCAATCCTTTAATCAGTGGACTACCCACAGCCGCCCATTTCTCTAGTTTGTCCTCCATTGTCCTCTATCCCTTCACCATCCCGCTATCATCCCTCCATCACCTGGAAACTGGAAACATCAGCACCCAGTAAAGCCAGCTATTGGCTGGTTTGTGTTTTATTAATGTCACATGTTTGAGGTCAATGATCAACCTCTTTAATGTGTGTTCAGACTGATGCGAGGAACATTTGAGAAACAGCATTTAAAGTTAATACAGAGACACAGGAAGTGTTTTGTGAGTCAAAGATTAAAAGATATCAAAACATCTGCTTCAAACTTTAAATCACTTTAAATTATTTTAGTTATAATAGTCAACTAAACCATTACTCGATGAGAAGAGTCGAAATTGATAGGGAATAGAAAGTTCCACAATATGGAGCCCCACCAGGTCTCCAGATGGAGTAACGCTATCTGTCTGATATAGTTCAAGCTACCTACAGTGGACTTTGGTTGTGCTCAATAAACACACACTGCAGCCACTCAGTCTGAACACACCTGTAGACTCACACAGTAAATCTAACATGGACAACCTGTCGCCCTGCTCACCTGTCGTTCCCTCTGCTGTGTAGCGGTGAAGATAAAGAAGCCAATCCAGACCAAGTTCAGGATGCCAGTGTTGAACTGGGTCGCCTTGAAGCCGAGTCAGATCAATGGGACCGTCTTTAATGACATTGACGATGAGTCCATCCTGCAGGTAAAACAAAGACTAATTTTTAACAAAATTATTTGATCTTCTATTGACTTGATTCTATTATGTGTGAATAGGTCTTCACTTATTGACTCCACTCACATTAACATTAACATTGTCTTATTGCTGGAGGTTGAAGAGAAAGCCTGCAAGGCATCAATATGGACTGAAAAGTTTACTTTCACCTTGTCTCCTCCTAAAAATATGTCTTTCTGTCACTGTCTGTCTCTCAGGACCTGGATGTGGAAGGGTTTGAGGAGCTGTTTAAGACAAAGGCTCAGGGTCCAGCAGTGGACCTGACTCTGTCCAGACAAAAACTTCCTCAGAAAGGCCCATCCAAAGTTTCTCTGCTGGAGGCCAACAGAGCCAAAAACCTGGCCATAACTCTAAGGAAGGCCGGTCAGGGGTCAGAGGTCATCTGTCGCGCCATCCACACGTAGGTCAAAGTTCAACAGGATCACCAGTAATGACATAAGTACGATAAGCTCTACCTGTAAGATCCATCGACTGGCAGTCCTGACTCCACCAGCTCCTGACTAGAAAAATGGGCAAAGAGATAGAGCATTGGTGGAGCGGAGGTAGGCCAAATTAAGCCTGGTTACTGAACCAGTAAGCTCAACTTTAAACTTTATATTAAAAAACTCACCCCTACATACAGAGGTTGCAATTTTTCAAGAAAGAAAAAAAAATAAAGAGATGACAGAGATAAGTACACAAACACAGGAAAGCAGATCTATGAAAAGGCCTATAGAGGATTAAAACAGTCCAAGGATTCAGCTAATCTGGGTGATTGGGGAAGATGATTCCACAGTTCTGGGGCTGAAACAGCAAAGCTCTCCTTTAGTTCTGCAGTCAGAGCGGGGGATGGATAAAAGGAGATCTGAGATGTAACTGGGGCTGATGATGTGCCTTATATTTAATTCAATTTTCAATTCAATTTTATTTGTATAGTGCCAATTCATAACATTTACAGAGACGGCCAACAGTACACCATGAGCAAGCACTTGGTGACGGGGGCAAGGAAAAACTACCCTTTTAACAGGCAGAAACCTAGGACAGACCCTTCGGCTCCAGTTGGGTGGTCATCTGCCTTGACCAGTTGGGGGAAAGAAAGAGAGAGAGAGAGAGACAGACAGATGTACAGCAACAAACAGTAGCAACAAGCTAATAATAAGTAGTGACGATGACGATCATGAAAAATGCAGTTTGGACTGACTGTAGATGATTTAAACAAGCCGTACAGTTATATTACTATTTATTATATTTATTATATCTATTAGGTGAGTTCATCACACTGCTGGTTGATTAACTGAGGTCCAGCAGAAGGTCTGATTTTAAAGATCTGTTAGAGGACCTCCTTGAACAGTCTGGTTTGTGTTTCTGCAGGTTTGACCTGCGGACGGTTCGGGTCGACTTTGTGGAGTGTCTGATGCGTTTCCTGCCAACGGAGGCAGAGGTGAAGCTTCTACGGCAATATGAGAGGGACAGAAAACCTCTGGAAGCTCTGAGTGATGAAGACCGCTTCATGATGCAATTCAGTCGCATCGAAAGACTCAATCAGCGAATGTCGATCATGACCTTCATGGGGAACTTCAGTGACAATGTCCAGATGTTAACTCCGGTAAGACAGACAGGTTCCAGACAGGAAGACAGTTATAGGGCACCCTATAGCTCACCTGGTAGAGTTTTTGCTGCAGCAGCCATGGGTTCAACTCTGACCTGTGGCCCTTTGCTGGCCCTTTGCTGCTCATCATACCCTCTATCTCCCTCCCCCTTTCCTGTCATTCTTCAGTTGTCCTGTGCAATATAGGCAAAAAACCTAAAGAAATATATATATATATTCATACGTATATTATATATATGGACAGACAGATGTGACTTTTCTCACTGTGTTGTGTTTTTTCTCAGCAACTCCACGCTATGATTGCTGCTTCAGTTTCTATAAAATCATCTCAGAAGCTCAAGAAGATCCTTGAGGTCAGTCTGGGTCTACATATATATACATAAATATACATCGATCAGCCAAAACCTGGGCTCCCTGATGGTCATAATGTTATGCAGCCACAGACCAACAGACCCCTTTCTATCAGAACCAGCATTAACTTTTTGGTTTTTTTTCCCCAAAAGCAAAAAAGTTTGAGCTACAGTAGCTCATCTGTTGGACTTGGACCACCCCAAAACGGGGCCAGGGCCCCTTTTTCACTCCCCACCTGACAATGAGCTTCAGCCCCCTTGACCCTGTCTCTGGTTCTGTTCCTTCCTTGGACACACTTTGATAGGTACCCTGACCTCTGCAGACTGGGAAGACCCCACAAGAAATGCAGGTTTGGAGATGTTCTGACCCAGTCGTGCATCACAATGTGGTTCTTGTCAAAGTGGCTCAGATCCTCACGCCTGCCATTTTTCCTGCTTCTAACACATCAACTCTGTTGACAGGACTGATAGGACCTCACCTATCAGTGGTCACAATGTTATGGCTAATTGATGTATATTTATATACAGTATGCATAGATAATCTTTTGTACATAATGTGACTATGAGTTTCAGAGGGTTGTTGTTGTTGTTGTTATAGATCATCTTGGCTCTGGGGAACTATATGAACAGCAGTAAGAGGGGAGCTGTGTATGGGTTCAAACTGCAGAGTTTAGACCTGGTAAGACACACACACACACACTCTGCTCAACAAGCCCATTCTTTTCAACGGACAATCACACCCACCTGTCACAGAATGAGGACTCAGTTTCAGAAAGTTACCGCCGCCCTAATCTGATGTGAGAAAGGGGGTTTCTGAAGCTGTCGATGAGTTCTGACAACCTATACTGACAGCTTCAGTTCTGATGAAGTATACAGATGACTGCTTTTACCTCTCAGCAGCAAATAACATACCAAATAACAGCACACTAAGAGTTGCTTTATCTTTTAATTGGACTAAAGTGAGTTTAAAGAATGAGGACCTGATAATGAGGTTTGTGAGTTTGTGTTCAGCTGCTGGAGACGAAGTCAACCGACAGGAAACAGACATTGCTTCATTACATCGGCAACGTGGTGAGAGAGAAATATCCTTCAGTGGCTCTGTTTTACAATGAGCTTCACTACGTCGATAAAGCGGCTGCAGGTGAGTCTGTCAACCAATCAGAACACTGCAAACACATCAGACTCTGTGATGCTCACCTTTGTTTCCTTACCTGTGTGCAGTGAGTCTGGAGAATGTGCTGTGTGATGTGAAGGAGCTACAACGCGGCATGGAGCTCACCTGGAGAGAGTTCAGTGTTCAACACAACGGCACACTCAAAGACTTCATCAGCAGGAACGAATCAAGACTCAGCAAGCTGCAGGAGGACGCACGCATCGCTGAGGTGAGACGCTGTTACAGTCGTCCAATCATAATGCAGCAGGATGACTGTTGCTGCCTAAACTATGTAATTTAGAAACAATAATTAGAAATCCTGCTATTGATCATGTAATTCTTTCAACCTACACTGTAAAAACTAACGAGGTGATCAATTTTCACTCTAGGATGCGTTTGAAGATGTGGTGAAATTTTTCGGCGAGAGCTCCAAGACAATGCCACCGTCGGTCTTCTTCCCTATCTTTGTTCGTTTCATTAAAGCGTACAGGGTGAGTAATGATGACACCCCCCATCGGGGGTGTGGTCTCTGAATCTGAAGCCACTCCCACAGAGTTGAATATTTACTGTGTGTGTGTTCAGCTGGCAGAGGAGGAAAACGAGCAGAGGAGGCGTCAAGAGCAGATGTTACTAGAGAAGCTGGAGCAGGAGGAGCAACAGGAGCAGGAGCAGGAGACCAAGGTAAGATGGTGACCTTTGGCCTATACCTGACTGATCTGTACAACCTAAAATACTTGACCACTCATTACATGGCGGACGTGAGAAAGGACAGCTCACCTGTAATTTGTTTTTAACGGTCAAACTGTCCCCCTCCTCCCCTCCAGTCTCCGTCCCACAGAGGGAAGCGACAGCAGCAGGAGCTGATCACTGAGCTTAGACGACGACAAGGAAAAGACAGCCGCCATGTTTATGAAGGGAAGGACGGCGCCATAGAGGACATCATCACAGGTAAACATGTCATCACAGGTAAACACCTCACCACAGGTAAACACGCCACCACTTATATACACGTTGTCAAAGGTAAGCAAGGTCTGTTATCTGATTGGCTGTTTTGATGTGTCTCACCTGCAGCTTTGAAGACCGTCCCCTTCACAGCCCGATCGGCCAAACGCAGCTCTCGTTTCTTCTGTGACCCCGCCCACTCCGAGGAGCACTACTGAGAGAGAGAGAGAGAGGACGATGACGTCACGCCCACTTCTAATCGATGGGACCAATTAGCACTTTGAACATTTCTGATCAATCGATGTGAACTGATGACATCATGTTTTTTATGTTATTTTATTGGTCCGTTTCTGCACAGACCGGATGCCCAGACACCAGCTGACCTTTGACCTCTGACCTTTACCTGTTCCACTCTGGCCTGAAAATTCTAAAATGTGTCCATTTAAAGTATCTTAACTGAGCAGCAGCTGTCCTCATTTCTGATCTGACCACATCAACATGCTGATCTGGTGTCAATCTGGTTAGATAAGAAACACTCAGTAACTGTTGTTGAGCTTTTGATGATATCACATGGTCTTCCTCAGTACATGGAGATGTCCAGTTGTCATTGAATGGGTGTTCAGAGTCCCAGTTCTAAGCACTTTAAGGGCTTCTTTTCCTTGTGGGCTCAAACATTTAAAGTTCATTCTCAGATGAAAAATATAATAATTTAAAAGTCAACTAGGCCGTTTTAGTTACTTAACCAGAATGAAACGGTGGAAGGAGAACTGGTACGATAAGAAGATGTACTTTTTAAAAATACCACAAGTATACACAACAAACCGTGGGCCGCTTTTGACCACTGGTGGTGCTCCTGATGAGCCGGTCCAACATGGATACACAAATACCTCATAATTCCATGAAACTCATGGCTGACTTGGATGAACATTAATTTACTTGGTGAGGAAACTTTTTTTAAGTGAACCACTAAACCACTAAAGGTTCTCTTCCTGTGTCAAAGGTCTGCAGGTTTCAAAGTGCCTGCCTCCAAAGTCCTGGTTATGCGTCAGTAGGTCTGTGGTTCTGTGGTTGTTCTGGGTTCCTTTCGATCTGTCTTGAACTGGATCTTGTACAGGGTTCTACTTCCTTTCACTACATTGTGTTCTATTGTGTTCTACTGTATTTCCTAGCCTTACCAGAGCTGGAGAGAGTCTGGCTCCCTTCATGAAGTAAACAGTGTTAATGAGATCATCATTCAAAAAAAATGGCTCTGGTTTGCTCTTGCTCGACCCAGTCCACGTCCTGACCCCGACCCCTCAACCATCAGAGACATCAACCTCAGTCTAACTAATATTATCCAAGTTTGCTGATGACTCAGGTGTATACTGCAGTTCAAGGTGTCGTAGTGAGGGGGCGCTGTAGCTCAAAACACAACATGGCCACCCACTTTGTCTCTATACAGCTGAGAGTGTGAGCTGATTAAACTGAAGATAAACTGAAGACACTGGAGGACAACTTCTGTCCAGAACATGAAGGAGTAGACATGAGGGACACACCTGGAAAGACCTAAAGGGACGTGGAGGACCGACCTGGAAAAATCTGGACAAAATGGACAAACAGAATGGAACTGTAGTGTTGTCCTTCATTGTTCTTGGTGTCCCTGTCGGCCTGTGGAGAGTCCGGTCCAAGCAGTCCTTTATCAGCACCCCCCCCACCCCACCCCCCCACCCCCTTTATTTCAGATCATCTGAAGACAAAAAAAGTAAAAACAGCACAAAGTTTTCTACGTGTACAAACATTTTCTAGAGAACTGTAGCGTTGCTCGTACTCTGTGTGGTGTTTGTTGGTTGTTGGTGGTGATTCTGCACTTGGTGGTGTAAATAAACGCACCCTGTCTCCCGACACCATCACTGTTGTCTCCTAATTGTTTTTTTTTTGCAGCGGCGAGTTGAGCTGCTCTCATTTGCTGCTCAAGGTTCCAAATCATCCGTAGCAGGAAACAATGGCAGCTCGCCTTTTCACACACGATCTCGTATTCCAGTTAACTAAAATATGTAAAATATAAATAACGCAGTAACAGAATCTGGATCCATATTTGATCAGCACTGCAATAGTTATAAAGTATATTATTAATAAGTTGTGATTTATGTACAATTATAGTTATTGATCCTCTAGTGTCTATTGAACACCCTGACTCACACACAGATGGGTGATCTGGACCCTGAAACTGAACTAAAGCCATCATTCTTCCAGCTGCTCATCTACCTGAGCAGTCTGTGATCACCTGACCTGTTTGACGATATCACAATCATACGCAAAATGTCCTTGTTTCTGATTGGCTGTTAAATGTCTGTGTCACTGTTTCCTTGTTTCTGATTGGCTGTTGGTTTTTTACTTTATTCATTCAAATTACAATAAATATTGCGTAAACTCCACTTAATAGTTAACCATTTATTAATATTATTGATCCAGTTCGATAATTATTGATTGCTAACAGTTTCTGACAGTGAGGATTAATCAATCAAACTGTTGATCACTTCCTGTTGAGGATCAGTGTTGTGATTGGCCGTTGGAGTCTCCTGAAAATTATCCAGAGAATGAGTTTGAAGGACGCCCTTTGACCCCGAGTCCAGTCACCTGTAGACACACACACAGACTATCAGCAGGTGTGTGACAGTGAACACAGGTGAGTGAATGAAGTGTAACTAGGTGAGTCTGACCCTGAAGGTGTGTCCGGCCAGTGGCTGCTGTCTCAGCTCTGATTGGTCGAGGCCCAAACTGGCTGAGGTCACATAAAGGTCGGAGTAGTCCGGACCTCCAAAACAACACGAGGTGGTCTTCATCACAGGCAGAGAGACCGCCTGCAGCCGCACACCTGAGAGGATACAACAGGTGCTATGGTAACCAGTGGAACCAGTATCTAACACTGGTCACTAACCAGTAACAGGGTCGAAGACCAGTCCTCCATTGTAACATCAGAATCAGTATAACTAACCAGTTACAGGGTCGATGTTGATGACCCGTCCTCCATTGTAACACGCCACCCAGAGACGACCTTCAACATCAATTGTCATCCCGTCTGGAAGCCCCTCCCCTTCCTCCATACGATACACCACACGACGGTTACCTAGGCAACACAAATGATTAGTGAAGTATAAATACTCAGAAATACACGCAGTACTGCAGTACAAGTACACAGTTACCAAAGAGTCCTGTGTTTGAGTCGTAATCGAAGGCGTCGACTGTCAAACACAAACTGTCGATGTAGAAAAACGTCTTCTGATCTGGAGACCAGTCCAACCCATTAGATATATCCACCTGAGAGTGAGACAGGTCAGAAAGAGAGACAGGTACAGACAGACAGGTCAAAGAGCAGTCCAATCCATTAGATATATCCACCTGAGAGTGAGACAGGTCAGAGAGACAGACAGGTACAGACAGACAGGTCAGAGACAGACCAGTTTGCTTACCTGGCTCAGGTGTTTGCTCACAGTGAGGTCAGAGGTCACAGAGAACAAAGATCCTTGTTGTCTCTGAACCTCTTTTCCCATTGTACCTGAGACAGCAAACACTGTTACCATGGCAACAACAGTTCAGACAGACAGGCAGACAGGTAGACAAACTCACCTGCCAGCAGGCGTCCAATAGGATCCACCTTCCCATCGTTCAGTCGGTTGCTGGGTTTGTCCTTGTCAACCTCCACCAATGATGTCATTGTCTGAGTTGACCAATCAACGGCCACAATGCTGCGACCCACACCTGCAACGTAACCACCTGACCTGCGAGGAACTGCGAAGCCCACTGTGTCACCTGAGGACAAACAGACAGATGAGAATGGGCAGGTGAGACTAACCGTTTCCTGCGTGCTGATTGGTTTACCTGTCTCCATAGATTGGATCTGATTGGTCGTTGGACTCCAGCGGTGGATTTTCTGCCCGACGATATCGACAAACATCAACATCTGCTCCGACTCCTCCCACACGGGCCCTTCACCAATCAGAGCGCTCGACTTCACCACAGACTCCACCTTCACTGATGACATCATCACCACTGTCTGTCTGGACCAATCACTGAGCAGGAGTCACCTCACTCACTCTTGTTTCCATGAAAACAACCGGAAGTTAACATGTAGTACTGTTACACAGACTGTAGTACTGTTACACAGACTGTAGTACTGTTACACAGAACGTAGTACTGTTACACAGAACGTAGTACTGTGACACATTATATTACAGAATGTAGTACTGTTACACATTATACTACAGAATGTAGTACTGTTACACAGAATGTATTACTGTTACACATTATACTACAGAACGTAGTACTGTTACACAGAATGTA